TCCACACAAGACAACAACGCACATTAATTGCCCCTTGGTAGTCAGTTCAAATCAAATCAACCGCGATTCGGTTCAACTTAATCAATCGCTATCGGTTCTCCTTTTAACTCAACTGTTACTCAAATCCAACATAACCTTGTCCAACTNAACACACCTCAATCGACTCCCCGCAAACAACGCGAAAGGTAAATCAACCTTGGTCGAAATACTGGTGGTATTTGGAACTCATAGACATCACCTCCAACAAATCAACGAATTTCACGACAGATAATACGAGCTATAAGATATTGTTCTTGCAATGATATAAAACAAAAAAATACCTTCCCACAGGACAGACAGTTTGTGCCGAAGGTTTATCGAGAAGTTTCTTCACATTATCTATTAGATGCAGGAAACCGGTGAAGCAGGATTCCAGTACCGAATCGCTGTCAGTAAGTGCACTTTGTATTGCATCAGTTAGGGTGCGCGCTGTAACGCGAGCCAATTCCTCAGCCATCCGAACTTTTTCATGTTTTGGTACACGACCGAATCGAACGGCTGAAAAAATAAGAAAGGCTTATGCGTGGAAAAAATACAATATCTGAGTACGAAATAAAAGCCTGAAAGGAAACTAGATTCTGAGTCTAATAGTATATGTTCATTGGAATTTTAGTACATGTTCATCGGAATGAACAATGGCCTTACTAAATTTGCTGGACCCATCCTACAGGTTAATGGACCCATCCTACAGGTTAAAAGTATAAATTTGGAAAACAATACTTAATATTACAAATTTAAAATTCTTTTACATGAATAGAACAAATGAATCAAATGGCCAAAAACTGCTAATCATCAAATTTGAAGTTTAATTAAAGTTAAATATTGATGTGAAAAGATATTAGTAGTGGAATAAGCTTCTAGCAGCAATTCAAACATTTAGTTTCTTGCCAATTTCAAATGTAAAATATTATATTCTTCACAAGATCCCTTCAGTTACCGTCATATTCGTTTTTAATTCAAATTTTTGAATTAAATAGAGCACGACGAAAGTGAAAATTCGGGCACAAGAGAAAGGAACTAACGCAGTTGAAATTTACAAGGTCACCAGGAAACAATTCAATGCGGGACAGGCATCCCTTTCGCCTTTTCAACCTTGCCTTCCCAGTAAACACATTTTGAATGTTCGCATAAAATGACCCAAATAGTCGCAGTATTCTTCAACCTATCTCTTCCACCCAAGGTCAAACCACAATACACAACATTGGGCTGTCTCTTAATCCAGATCAAGGTCAAACTATAAACTCCATTTAAACGAGCGTTTCAATCAAGGTCAAGGTCAAAAACACTTTTCTATTTCATCATTACAATTTACATAAAATCTAAGACGTAAATTCATTTGGCACTTTCTTCAATTCAGATCTCCTAATCTAACAAAGAAAAACTAAACATCCATTTAAAATTTCGAACAATTTAACCGATAGTACGTACAAATTACGATTTTTAAGGAAAATCGTTAAGGAAAGAGAGAAAAAATTTATAGGAAATAGCAAACTTGTATACCTTCTCTTGACATTCCAACTTTGATACATTTTTGTAATCTACAATGTTGACATCGATTACGATTATTTCGAGCAACGATACATTGTTGACTTCTCGCACACGGACGATATTGAATTTTCTGCTGAATGGAACGGCGAAAAAAACCCTGTAAACAAATTCTCCATAGGAAAAGAACCTTTCTTTAAAAGCAAAAATCGAACTGAAGAAAGAAACCAATAGAATTTGTAAACAAATAATTAAGTATAATTCTACGGAGAATGCAATGACAAAAGATCACAATGGTATCCCTCCAAACAAATTATTCTAGCAATTTTTTAAGACAAATCAGATATGATTTGTGCGGAGGAAAAAATTATCAATTTCTAAGCGACAAAAATGAAAAAGGAAGAGATTAAATAAATTTTTTACCTTACAACCTTCACATGCAAAAACGCCGTAATGGAAACCGGACGCTCTATCGCCGCAGACTTGGCACAAATAATTGTTACTCGTTGTAGCGGCTGAAAATGAAATATAGAAGCGCAAACCAATATAGATTTAAAAACATTTACCATCGTTTTCACTCCATTTCTTTTCGCAGTAATTTCTTTCAGCACTACAGTCCTCATAACAAACCTAATTCAACAAAACTAAATTCCACTAATAAAAGACTATTGTCCATTTGCAATCCTGCTATTTGGCATTTTAAAGGTGAAAGTTAAAATGCTCATTAAAAAAGTGAACAAATATGAAGCCACGTAAATGCGCGAATGCATTACTGTACAAAGATTTGCGAACAAAAACCAATTCATTGAAGATGAGATTGGGGCCACTATGTCATTTACAGTTGAAACGACCCCAAATTATTAATGGAAGTCAAAGGTCCATTTAATACTGATGAATGCAATATTTCCAACTTTGAATCAACGAACAAAAATTTTCCGAAAAAATCCATAGTTCTCAACACATCACACATTTAATCTTTATTATACATACATAATCAATTTCAATCTGACAGAAAATATCCATTTCTAATCTATCTAATTTTCCAGTGATCCGTTTAAATTTATCGTAAACTTTTCGATCAAAATTAGCGAAGGTCAAAGGTCAACTGTAATAAACTACCTAATGATTTGTTTGCTAATTTGCATACTTTGCTCTAGAAATTAAAGGTAAACTATTTAAGAAAGAAAAGTATTTTTGAACTGTTTCGGATTTCAGAATGCCATCATAAATCCAAGCGCATTCAGTCATTCCGCTTTTTCATTCCATTTGGGAGATATTGATCCTACATTATGATAGATACTTTTCTCTCTTCCGAATTCCAAGCTACCATGGATTTGTTCCACGGCACGCTTTGGTTTGCAAAATTGCTATGAAATGTTTTGAGCGCGCTTTGCATGTTTCTTATCTGAATGCTGTCTCTAATGCAAGATAATTACTATCACCCAATAGTGTGCTGTTGAGAAAAGTGCGCTTCACATTAATTTCATTAATTATCGCTGAGGTCCAGCCTTATCTCGATTTTTTTCCAGTTGCATTTGTTTAAAAGGAAAACTTTGACCTTAAATAAATGGGGAAGTGACCTTTACCCCCAATCAAGTGATAACTCAGCATTTGACCCTCGAAGAAGTCATCTCCGCCCTGATTGCTACACAAATCGGCCTCATTTTCTACCGTTCTAAATATTCCTCCCTTTCCCTTTCTTTCTTTGTTCCTCCTCTTTCTCCCTTTCTCTGTATAAAGAACCCCTCGATAACCCTCTATCATCTATTATTACCATTATTGCTGCCAGCTCCCCCAACTGACCTTCGAAAACGAAGTAATCAAAGAAAAAAATACGAGAAAGGAAACAAAAAGTCAGAACTAGAAAAAAAAAGAAGGAAAATGCTATAATACATACCATTAAGAGAGTGAAACTTTCAATATCAATTGTACTGATTATTTCATTTCAATTATTATTATCACCTCATTATCATTATACACTATGGAGCAGCTGGCAACTATTGCATCAAAATTCTATTGATAATATGTGAGGTATCTCATTTCTTGTCTTCACTCCCCCTCCCCCATAACAAAAAAAGGTACATTCCCTTTCTTTCTCCTTCTCCTCCTACTTTGAACTTTATGAGCAAAATCGTCTCTCTAATTTACTCGTGCAGTAAATACGATGGCGATATATACACCACACACACACACACACACACACACACACACACACACACACACACACACACACACACACACACACACACAACACAACATACATCGAAAGAAATAATATGTAAAAAAGTAACTTTAAAAGTGACCGTCCTTGGAACCACATGAAAAAGACTTTTCAGCTTCACAGATCTTTCCAAGTCATTATTAACAATTTGTGGCACTTCTTTCTTCGGCCTTCTCAGGCCTTTCTTCACAAATCTCTCAGTGAGTCATTGTCTATTTTGACTCAAATTACCTGTCTTCCTCTTCTACGCCATATGAATTGGGTAGAAAAAGTATGATTCATTCATCAGCACATCGCAATCATCCTTTCCTTCCTTCCACCTATCTTTTCCCACTCTCCGTGCCTGATATGAGGTCGGAAAGTTTCAAACAAACTATAAATGAGTCAAAGAGGCCTTTAGAATGGCTTAACGACAGCAAGCATCGGAGTAGGCTGAACTGGAACAGAAATGACAACTGAGGTGAAATGGGAAATTCTTTTACGAATTTCGAGAAAAAAAAAACAAAATCGTAAAGATAAAATGAAAATATGGATTTTAAAGTTTGAAAATAAAACATTTTAGCGTTTTAGTGAAAAGAAGCATATAAAAAATCATTTGTCAGATATGCGAGAAACCATACCATATAAAACTGCCCAGCATGCGTATGTCCTGATAAAATCAAATCAATTCATAGAGGAAAGGTCAAATAGATCGATTAAGAAAAAAAAGATTTTTTAAATGAAGCAAATAATCTTAGTTGGAAATTTACCTTTTGATTTCAATTTCAATGTTAAGAGTCCCACGAACTATAGAAAAAGATAATTGCAAAATTGGAAATAAAAAAACTTGGAAATTTCTTGGAAAAAACTTAGATTCTCAGAAGTGATCACTAAATGATGAAAATGGTACTCTTCGATAGTACGAATTTAAGTTACAAAAGTATGCATCAAAGTTCATCCACATATATTTATTAAATAGCAATGGAATTCATTCATATCTATTTACTTGCGAATAAACAACAAAAGCTGTCAACAATCAAAAAGCTCTTGTTAATCAATCAAACGAGTGCTAAGTTTTTTAAAGAAATAAAGAGAAGCTTTTTTTTGGTCTTTAAGATATTAGAACAAAAAAAAGAGAAAAATTACATCCTCTCGAAATAAATAAAAGTTGAAGGAAATGGCAGTTATGATGTCATCATATCAAATATATAATGAACTCACTCACCATAATCGCCATTTACTGTAGCATCATTCTGTTGTTGTTGATGTTGATGGTGATGATGATGATAATGATGATGGTGATGATGATGATGACGGTTTCTTTCATCAATGGTATTTTCATGATCTGATGGTGAGATGAGGGAATTGAGAGTTGTGACAACAAATGAATCTGATGAAGTGGATGGAATAATTGGTCGAAAAGCTGATGGCGCATTACCACTCAAAATTAAGCTTGCGGAAGTGAAATTTGATTCTTCTGTTACTGTTGCGGCTACTAATGTTGCACCTGGAACAGTAACTGTTGGAGTTGTAGTTACTGTTGGAAGATTTCGAATTGTAACTACCGGTCGATGTGGTGTATGAATATTGGGAGATATCAGAAGGTCACCAAGAATTGCTGAACTCGTTGAAGTATCATTAGTTGTGGAATTGGCTGAAATTGGAGATCTATGCCGGATTGTTGCTAATGGTGTTCCGGAAAGTATCATTTTTGTCCGTCATTCTTTTCATTGCATCTGCAAGTTTTAAAAATATGGGAATAATAGTAATACAGTAAAACATTTATCACAATTAAAGTACAAAAATAGTTTTTTTCAAAAACGATTTGACAAGGCAATAAACGCCACTCTTCTTTTTCACTGTTCTCTTTTACAATATTCATTTTTTAACTTATATTTGTCAATATTAGAACTCAAGCAATTCAGCTTTATTTTAATTATTGCAAACATTTTAACTTTTGATAAGCAAAATTAATTTTTCTAATTTTTCTAATTTTTTAAAAGAATATTTAGAAAGGTTTTGGAAATTGTCTAATGGGTACTTAAAATGATCCGTTAAGGTAAAGGTTAAGAAGTGAGATAAAGCAACTGCTGGGCATAAAAATTGCAGGCCAATAGGAGCGTTACTGCTCTGCCCATATTGTATTTGTTGAGTTGGATGGGTTGTAGAGGCGTACAAGGTCAACTACTACTACCACCACTCTCCTTGTTCAACCGTCCGTTTCGCTGTTCCAAGTCGAAGTGCTCCTCCCCGCTCGACCGGCCAGCCCTTCTTTTTTCCCTCTTCATTCCGGTATTTCAGCATATTCCTCTCGTTCATCTTCTCCATACTGGAGAGTATTCTCATTACCGTTGACGAAAAGTCCCACCCGTCTTTTCACCGTGTTCGATGAGCAATAGCAACAGGTCGAGGTCACCATCCAACATTTTCCCTTTTACAAACTCTGTCATCTGTCCTCATTAAATCACACACATACACACACACACATACATACATACGTATGAATGCATATATATAAAACACACATTGAACTAATCCAAGTTTTCCATTACCTATCTTCCTGACTTAACTCTAAAGTTTCATATACAGCCATATTGAAATCATAATGTCAATTAAAATACCAACCATAACCCTAACGAAAATTTCGAAAAAGTTTTTAGCAGTGATCCTTCTTTGCAAAACTGAGTTTATTATTCTAACAGTAACCCTTTCAGCGTGTTAATATTATTGACCAAACGCTGCAGGTCAATACGTGAGTATTTATTTTCCATATTAAAAAAAAAGACATAAGCATATTTTTCTGTTGCGAGCGACAGAAATTTTTATAAATTAGCGATTTTGAAATTGGTGTCAAGATTGAAAAAGATGACCTATGACCCAATCATAGTTATATTAAAAAGGATGAAATAAGGAAATAAAAGTAACATAGAAACAATATTCTTTTTCCAAATTATTGATATCATCGTCTGCTTTTTCTGCCACATTTATTCAGATTTACACTGCTCATACATTATCCGTATTCTAATTTAATTTCAAATTTTAAACATGCTGAATCGATGAGTGAAGCGATCGTTGATAATTCTGCCACTATAAGTTACATAAAAGCAGGCCATAAATTTTAAAGTACAGCTAACAAAGGTAGTGGAATATCATGAGATAATGAGCCTTCAATATTAACTAACAATGTACATGAAGCTAATAACATTCTTACCATCGAATATCATTCTCATTAAGTTTTTCAGTAATAGGGCATCAATGCTATGTTTACAATGAAAAAAAATGAAACTAATAGGAATTGTGTAAGGTCATTAATTCAATCAACCCCAAAATCAAGAAGATTACACAGCAGAGAACTTTCTATAGTTCAAAATAGTAGTGAGGATGCGAAAAGTGTTGATGGCAACTACTATATTTCAAAGCATGATGGCACACGGCATGATTCAGATAGGTCAACTTCCGACGGAGCGGTAGAATGAAGGACACTTGGTAAGGTTGTTTGATAGCAATTAATTGTGCAAAATGAAGGCAAAGCTTTGGGGATCAACTTTTCTTCTAATGAATATAAAGCATTTATTATAATAATAACAAAAAGTGTTCGGCAAATAGTGAAATTTTTCAAGTTTTGATTACTACAACTGTTTTTATCACTAATTACATAAAACTAATATTGAGTTATCAACGAGAATTCTGTTAACTGTTAAAAAGATATGAACAAAAAATATAAATACACAGGTGAATAATGAATAGATTGAATGACACGATTCGTTAATCAACTAAATCAGGTTCTCCGACGCTAAGTTAACATTTGTTGAATTGAAAATAGAAATCTCGTTTGACTGAAAATTTGAATTGTGAGTTTCAATTAGAAAAAAAGTACTGCATAAAAACAAAAAAAAAATTATTAGAAAAGAATAATATTGCCAACTGCAGATTACGATAATGAAAGTGAAAGGAAATGGTCTAAAAATGAGAAGAACGAGTTGACAATTGAAGGTGATTTCTAAAAGTGGATTGAATGAAACTTACCTAATAATTAATCTTTTACCCGACCGGTGGCACTGTTAGGGGATGGGAATTGATGCTGATGATGGCAGCAAGAATTATGACCTAAATCTAACTTCGACCAAAGAAAACGTTTAAAAATGAACACTTTACAGACTATTCTTTTTTACTCATCAAAACTACTGTTTAGGCGAGAATTATTTTGTCTGTAATGTTAAGTCAAATCATTTTCAACTAAAAATTCCATTTAAATTTTGGACATATTTTTCAATTGAATTTCAGTTTTGAAGTATTTTATATGGACTCAACAATCAAACTACTTTTACGAAAAGTTTTATGCAACTATTTCAGGCTCCCTTGCGGCAAACAGTTAGTTCCTGCAATATGCTTATTTTCAAAATTTTTAAAATAGATTAAAAATAGGTTGGGAGCATGTGGAGGTTAATGCAACTACCAAAAAATCATTTAAAGCTGAAATCTGTATTACTAAAAGAATATAATAGTTGATAACAAAATAAATGAAAATGAACAATCAGAAAAATCAAATGAATTACTCAAAGATTCAAAGGGTATTCAAATTTAACAGGAGTTGACCAGCCTGAATCATTTGTTGGTAGTTATTAGTTGAATGTTGCAATGCTATCAACAGATTTCATCTGCTAACAAAAAAGCGGTCTTTCATTCAGGGTTGTTCCATGTGTTAATGTTTAGAGTCTGTTGAAAGATTTATTTTCTCGTACGTTACTGTTGCAATTTCTGCAACAACAACTTATAATGCTAATCAGTAACAAACAATTAAATCATTAATTGCTTTTGAAATCATTATCTGAAAATAAGACTTTAATGAACTTTGCTGATGACTTCAGCAATTTTTTTCAAAATCATATTCTGCAACGGATTGTTTTTTTGTTCATTCTTCTTTTTTAAAATTTCTCTACACTATGATACGGTGCTCTCCCTAATTTTCTTCAAATATTACAGTAAATTTGATCAATAATATTTTTTTCTTAAATATTTCGATTGCCTGAAACTGGTATACGTAATTAGCAGAGCATACACTTCATAGAGATTAAAATACTAGATGAGAAACTTCATGAAAGTGCTTAGATATGCCTTATTTCTTTCAAAAGGCAGTTCCTTTCGAAGCTTCTATCAATAAAATTATTCCTTTAAATTTATTATTTGGTCAATACTGGCATAATATACTTCACATTACACATTTTTAGACTAATATGAAAGTAATTCTGTAAACATTTTCAACAATGAATAATACCATTTTCTTTTTTCTCAGTTATTTAATAATCGTATTTTCTGAAATTAATAAATTACTGCTATGAAAAATAAATAAATAAACATAATCGTTACTTTTCTTTATTTATTATCCATCTTTTGAAGTATCATATTTTCGCATCAATATGCAATTTTGGTTTTATCTTAGCTGAATGGATAAATTGTGACCTCAAAAGAACAAAATGCAATTTCATTTCACTCAAGCAACAAAGGTTACCTGTAGTGAATTTTCACTTTCCAGTTAAAAAAAGTTGACGGCAAATTTTTATTAGATACAACAAGATATCATGTTAAAGTTTTCCTCTCATAATTTCAATAACTGTTGGTCATTGTCATTATTCGTTTTAAGTAATATAGTAAGCACAATTTTTTTATATTTTTTCAGACTACTGCAACTTTCAAGTCTCTTGAAAAATGGTAAAGAAATTTTTTTTTGTAGCTCAACCTTTCTTACCAACTACGCAAAGTACCTTTAAGCATTCTCAAGAATTTTCCTATCACTTAAATTGTTCAAAACTTGAATGTTTGCATTGTTGTGACTTTTCAGCATAATTAAGCAATCTTCATTTAGATTCAATTAGGTAATCGACTATCAATAAGCATCCTCTTCATCACTCACTAATTTATTTCTGGCTTTTTACAACTTAAAATTAAATTGGTTACTTTCTTAGTTGTAAAATTATATAAATTTTTAATCTGAGGAAATGAGAGTGCTGTCAAACGTCTTGTCGTATGTATTTGTTTATCTAAGACGTATCCGATTTCTCGTTTTTTCATACCAATCATATCTCTCCAGTTTACTCTCGTCCTTCTACCAGCTATTGATATCCAATTTGGAGAGACAATTCCTCTCATTACTTTATTCCGTTATTATCAAATTTCTTAAAACATTTCCTATCCTCACTGCTATACACAACTGTTGCATTCAGGAGATCCGTAAAATTTACATGCAAAAAATTTTCAAAATTAGTGTAATGTCTATACGAAAATTGGAACAAATATTAAAATGGATGGATTGAAACTAAATTGTTGAAGACGGTAGTCTCTCAAAAATATCTTATTTGCATCCATTTGGAATGCATGTGTCCTTTTAGTCATAAAATAATAGAAAATAATTTTAAAAAGACTGTTGGAAATTCAATTTTAGTTCATGGAACAAACATCTAACTACCGTTCTTTTCTGAAGTGGCAACACTTCAGAAACGAAATCAAATTTCAGGGAACTCTTTTCAAGCTGTTTCCGAGAACTATATCAACATAGCCTGATTCAAGCCTTTCTTATTGTTTACATCATGGCCATAACCTTTCCAATCTTCAAAAGCATTTAATCATTGAATAAACAATAAACGATAAAATAATTTTTGAATATTTCATTTATTATTGTCTCTTGTTTCATATAACTTCATCCTCTTAATCACTTATTTTTCACCAAGAAGCCAACAAACTATGAAGTTAATCGGAGATGCTCTATCCTACACAGATTTTTGAGCTTGAAATTTAGAGTTCTAATTCTATAGCTTATATGTTTTCTTCTACCCCGCTCTTCCTGGAAATTGCGATGTGTGGAGGATATTATTTAATTTCAAATCTCTTTCTCCAACACTTGTTTAGTGAATCCTGCACTCTTTTACAATCAACAGTGTTTATTCCATTTCTCTTCTTGCATTGTAGTACTAGCAATAGCAGTTGTGTTAGCTTGCATTTCAGGCAAGAGAATGATGTGCATACTGCACTGTTGCAGAAGCAATAGCAAACAGAGCAGTAGCAGATCGAGTGTAATCGGACAAATCGTCGTCATCCGCTCTTCTCTCCGATCATTCTTTTCCTCCCATTAGTTAGTCGAAGGAAGGAGAAGGAGAAGGAGAAGGAAGAATTACTTCTTTCATACCAATATTTGTATTCGGGTCAGGAATCGGAATGGACCAATGTAAAGGAATGGAAGAATCGATTCCTTTACTCCATGCCTATCTTCCAGGTATTAAATATTATTCTATTTCTTGATAAAAGTCTATTTCATTAAGACTAGCAAACAAATGCCGAATAGATCCATCGCTCATTCATTCATTTGGCGCATTTTTCTTCGTCATTAAAAAATGCCTTCTGAATTTTTTTAAATAATATTCGTTTACTCAGCAAAGGTAAAACTTTGAAGGATTGAATGAAATTAAAAACTGTTAAGTTGTGAGAGTAAGATGAGGTTGATATCAATAAATTTGCAAGAGGTACGACGAGTTTATAATCAATTAAAGCCGAAGTATGATCATTATATGATTATGAATGTATAATGACAATTCTTCTTTCAATTTTTTCCACAATTTTTTAAAAAGTTCCGTAATGAATTAATTTAATTAAGCTTCCAATATTGACAGTATTGAAGTCCTCTTACCTTAATCATTGTAATGTTTTTATTTATTTTACCTTTTTTCTGATAAATTTTCCCTTTGAATAAATTCAAGAACTGTTTATTGTTAAAAACGTTTGATATTCATTTTTACATGATGTAAGAACATGTCTAATGCATTTCAAGGTCATTAAATTTAAGTAAAATGAACAAAAAGATAATCTTTAATCACTTAGAAAGAAGAAAACTTGTATAGATCAAATTAATAGCAAAAAAATCTCATCTTTTTTTAACGTTAATATTTTCAGTATTTATGCTCTTAACATAATGACCTGTCTTATTATAAAATCTTTCTTTAAATCTCTCACGTTGGACTGCGATGGTTTTGTCTTTGGATTCCCGACGTACAAACATATGAAAAAATTTCATGACAAATTCGCTGTTAAATTTGTGGATAGAATATCTAATAAAACTATTAAATTGACCTTAGAATTAAATTTCCAATCTTCATCCTGCTTGTATTCAAATTGCTTTTAATAATATCTTATTAAGGAGTATTTGATTCGTCAGATTATATAATATTTATTTTAATGTATAATTTATAATTTAACTTATATTTCTTTCACTACTATCTCTTACATTTTCAATATACTATAGGTGCAAGAAAATTCCATCTTTTGTCTATTCTTGATTTTTGAGAGTAGGAGTATTACAAATTCGTACGAGAGGGATAATTTTTTATTTCTGACTGTGAGTGTATTCACTGTTAACTTATCTTTATTGGATCAGAGCTACTTTTTTATGACATTACAAACTTTGCTTTCACACTGAATATTTATAACTTTTGAAAACTAAATCTCTTTTTCAAATTTATCACATCCTGAAAGTAATGCCATTAAAATAAAACACTTTGAAATTATGGCAAATTTTATTTTAGCTTTTACAAATTCCATTTTTTTTTAATGTTATCTGCTGAATTATCTATGATGCGGAAAAAACTATTAGTTAAATACATTTACATAACTTACGATGCCGTTCCTTTCTTAAATCAATTAAGAGCTATTTAAATCTTTTTATAAACGGTTCAAATTTTTCTTCTTAAAATTTTTTTCGAGGTTTTTCTGTAGATTGTTCTCAAATTTGTTGTATTATCAGATTATAAAGAGACATATCATATACATAAACTATTTTTCGATTAATTTTATTACTTTTAGATATTGAATTCGCTGCAACAACTTTGGTTTTTTCTTTTGCTTATTGTTAAAGGTTTTTTTAGGATTGTTTTTGAAGTATCTTCTATAGATGAGTGGTTTCATTTGTTAACAGAAAGTTATTGAATTGAAGAAATCATTAGAAAATTTACTCCATTTTGATATTTTGATATAAAAAAGAGATTTTAGTGAAAAAAGTTCGGAAATAAATTATGCAAAAAAAAAAAAAACAATACAAAAGTTTTATACTCATATTTCCGTTTTGGTTTTTCATATTATCTACATATATCTGGAAGAATCTGGATTAATCAACATTGATGAATTGAAATTTGATATTGAAATTGTAGCTCTTAGAAAAAAGTTTTTCAAATAATTTGATATGGAAATTGTCGTTTATTGTTTTTCAGATATACAAAATGCGATTTGTGAAGAGTTTCAAAGCGCCGAATGCAGCGTGGAAATGTCACCCGAACTCACCGAACCGCCATTTAACTTTGCATTCCATGCATTAGGCAAAAAAGTTCATTTGCTACCCTTAGGCTCCGTACTACCGAAGGATTTTCATCAAATTTCTGTCATATCGGTAAGATTTCGCTACTTAAAAATTATTTGTCGTTTGATTGAGAGACTGTTTTCAATGAAATTTTGGAGGAAAATCCATCGAATGAGTCATCCAAATGCAGAACATCAGAAAGATGTAATCTTTTTTCGGAACAAACAAAAATAGACCTGTCAAATGATGATTAAAAATATCTTCAAATGCATTTGCTGGAAATTTCAAACAAAAAAGATAATTTCTAGCTTACTCATAAATAATTTATTTTTCACTGAAATATTATTTAAAAAATATCTTTGAAAAATACGGCTTGCTATTCAAAGCTTGGGAATTTTGAGCTGCATATTGTGAAATTTAAAAAAAAAAACTTTCGATACGTTCTTAATATTGTTGAAATTTGTAAAATGGCCCGAAAAGATTTCACACTTTGATGCCTTTTTATAGTATATGTAATGTCCTAAGCTCCCTATGTGTGAGATAACAACTGTGCAACTGAATTTCAGTTACTCCATAATTTTTATAGCTCTCGTAAAGCAATTTAAGAATTTCATCTTTAGCAATCCCCGTTAATAAATCTGAGTGACTAGCTGTTTATATTTTGTAAACTTTTTTTATAGAAATATTATGTCATTTCTCGAATTTCAACAAGTATCAACACACAAACTAATTCTATTTCAAGTAATTTATAATAAAAGTAAAGCTATCCTTTGTTTACATTTTGCTTACAGACATTTTGTTTGTTTATATTTTGCCTAAAATAGAAATGTTAAAGAACAAACTTCCCAATGAGGAACATCCCGCGATATTTCAGGCTTCACAAATATTGTTTCTAACCGTACAAATAACGAACGTGTTAACTACTTTAAATTCAAAATTTGAAGAAAAGATTTTTAGAAGCAAATAAGAATGAATTATGGAAAAAAATGATGAATGATAGATGAAATATCATAATGAAATTCAAATGAAACAGATTTCTTTGAAATAGAAATGTTAAAGAACAAATTTCTGCACGTCAGGGACATTTCCATACAAGCGGATTTTCGTTTGGTTGTTAATGATGATATAAAAGAAATTTTCTAAGAAGAGATTTTCTGTTTTAATTTATAATCTGTTGAATTTCAGGAGGGGATGGTTGTCACAGATGGACTTGCTAGCGAATATTTACATTTGGTACTTGAAGATGGTGATAATTGGAGAACACCATTACAAAAAGTTTTCAACGAGAAACTTGGTGTTAATTGGTGTTTTCTAGTTATGGAACTGCAATCGAGTACCATTCACTTCCATACATTGCATGCACAAACGAAACCAATCAAAAATTATGCCGAATCTATCATTTTATGGTTAACTGAACTGAAGCAAATATCAACACCGCAAATATTACCAAAACCGAAAACAAACAAAAAAATTGTAAAGAAATCATTGGTGGACAAAAGCATTATTGATACAGAAGTTAATGGAAAAGCAACTGCAATGAAGACGATCAAAAATAGTAACGGACAAAAAATTGTTCGTAAAAAACCTGCTGCAGCAATACCAACAACAGTACCATCAACAACACATCCAGTTACAGATGAAGATACGAAAACCGGAAATGATAATTCTGTTAACAATAAGAAAACGGTAATTTCGAGAGGACGAAATTCATTAATAAACAATATGAATGGTAAAAATTATGTAAATGGTGATGGTTCTGCTGATTCAGGAATTTCACTTGTTGATTCAGATACAGAAAAATCATCAAAATATGCAAAAGGGAATGAATTGGCTAAACAGGAATCAATGATGAAACAAACCGAATCAATGAATAGTACTGAATTTGCAACATCGATGTCGACATCTAAAACAAACCTAAAAACAACTAATAATGATGACATTAGTAATTCCGATAGCGCTACTGTTAGCATTACATCTGTCATAGGCAACACACCGATATATCACAACGATCTGCCACCATCATTCACAAAATGTCTCAATAACAAATATGAAATGAATAAAAAAGTGGGAAAAATCGTGGAAGAAGAGGAGAAAGAAAGATCAGAAGATTGGGACAGATATGATGGTGCCAAATTAACTAATGGTCATAGTATGCCAAATCGTTGTTCCATAAATGGACGAGATTCGTTGATTCCAATGAGACGTTCTGTGCCAACACACATCAGTTCAACATTTCCGAGAAGTCTCTTGTCTAATGATCCCGATAGTCTACAGAGGTAATCAATTTTCCATTTACCTTTGAAGAAAAGAAATAAAATTGAGTATTCTTTAGTGATAAAAGAATATTGATAAATATATTATTGATAGATGAAGCTCATTTTCTCCGATTTTGACAAGCAAAACGATTTCATTTATAATAAAGTAAATTTTTTCCTTCTATTTTTTTCTGTTTTTTAAAGCTAACTAAAAAACAGTAACAGGAAATGACTAGCATTTAGAGTTATTTCTTACTTCATTCTCTTCCCAGAAATCAAATGGAATCTCCAAAAATCATTAAGCTCAAGGCTTAATATTAGCAGTTACAGCTAACATTAAATATATTCTATTTCTAAATGTAAGAGAGGCGGTGATATTCCATAATAAAATGAAATTAACAAAAATGTTTTATTTTTTCGGGAAAGAATTAAACAAATAGTTAAACAGTAATGCATTATTTTAAAGGAAATGAGAAAATAGTGAAAAACTATTTGGAAGATTTTTTACAACTTGTTCTCCGTTAGCTTTTTTTCCTAATTTATTAAAAAATTAAAGATGAAAATGAAAGAGAACCGATATACTATTCAGCAGCTCCGATGATTATTGGCAATTGTTTGTAGTTGAATTATTTTCGAATAAAATACAAAATTTTTCAAGTAATTTCAATACTTTCAATTTCTTATTCTTTTTGTGATATCCATCTTTCATAGGTTCATCTCAAATTTCTCACTCATCAGTGCTGAAATTTGAACTCAGATAAATAACATCCCAATAAAATTGAAGCGAAAAATTAAAAAATTATAGACATTGTTAAATAAATATGCTATAAGTATCTTTTTTTTTCTCGAAGCAAGACTTCATCTAAATCTTCTCTCATAAATCTATGAAATGTGTCGAAGATATATTCATCCCTCACTTTAAATTTACATATGTTTGATCGACCAGAATTGTACATTGCTTTTGACTTCCTCTAAGCATTGCTTTTTTCTAATGCTCTATGATGGCAAAAAGTGGCATTCAAAATGAGTTCCTTACTTTTCCTGAATGAAATGAAAATAAATTGACGACAGCTGTTAGCATATTTTGAATTATTGCATTTAAACAGATCAATAAATACATAGGGAATTTTTAACATTTCAGGTTATTAGCTTTCACGCCTGCATCCCCAATAAATTTACAAACATTTTTTAGATTTAATTAAAACCACGTCATCTGCGATAAATGAAGTACTTATCAATATTGAAACTATTACTTACTTATAGGAATGAAGTTTTGTATACTTATTTATCAAAGTTTGAAAAGCAATCCCGAATGTAGTAAAATATTCATTAGGAAAGGAAGTTAATATTCACAATTGAAATTTAAACCTAAACTCACTGATGTTACTTTTAATTTTGAGATAACAATAAATTTGTGGCAATTTGTAAGTTTTCAGGCTTCCTTCCAGGGATGATATTTCATTAATACGAAGGTTTGCTGATGAAGAAATGCCATCAGTACAAGTACTTCAGTTGGTTCTTAAAAAATTTTCTTACAAAGAGGTAAGATGAATTTCGTCATAAATATTTATAAGTTGCGTAAGACGCAAATATAAACTTAATGAGCCTAACTTTCTAACGAAGGATATATTTAAAGTCTTGGAATAAGTTCCAAAATTACATTCAAATATCACTTGAATTGAAATTAATCTTATCCATTAAATAATTTTCAAAATGGTCGGAGGGACGGATGAGTGTTTGTTGTACAATATGCAGCTAATTAAAATTTCCATGGTCAGCTTCAACTATACGAATTTCAAATTTTAAAATGGATATCAAATCAAAGAAATTTAACTTTTCTAATTATTGTTACCTCTCAATTGATTAATTGTTTTTTAGGATAAAACTAGCCCTGGAAAAAAACATTAAATAAATTCGAATTTGTATTAATTGAAAAAAAATAATTTTGAATTTGGGTTATATAAGATGAATTTAATGCCGAAAATTTTAGTTAGGCGAATTGAGACAAGTTCATCCACATTGGGATGAACTATGTGGACAAGCATTAAATAGTGGTTATCATGAGCTAATTAAAAAAGCGGATAAATTATTAACGGATTGTCAACGACGTGTACATTCCGAACCCGATCTCCATGACGTACTGTCCACTTTGACTAGTGTACAAGTGCACATTCTGAATCCTGTCGATATATTACGTCCAGCTATGGATGAAGGTTTCTTTCTATTATTTCCTTTCCTGAGAATTCTTGTTGTACTAGTTATTGATCGATACAGCAGGAATGTAGCCTATACAATACTGTTATGATAAGCATATATTTGAGGTGTTTGTTGCTTTCCATACGGTGAATTACTCGACCAAACCTTTAATATTGTGGAGAAAGCAAAAGAAATGATGGAAGGTAAACAAGATGTAAGTTAGTTATCATTCATAAAAATTTATTTGAAAAGGATGAACCTTCCAGAAGTGATAGATTATAGAACTGATGTAATTTAAAAGTTTACGAACGGCTTTTGCTTATTCATCCTTTTCATTAATGAGTAACGTAGTTAACAGAATAACCTTTAGATATTTTAAAAAGCAATGATTTGATCGGAAACCTTATTGAATCATTGATATATTTTTAAATTACTTTTTTTTTAAGATGATAATCAACTGGAAGCCAGTAGCTGAACTGGCAAGGCGTGCGCAACTACATTACAAATTCAATTTGGCAGCATTAATGGAGGAGAAACTGGGTGAAGTGATCAGATTGAAGGCCTTGCAATCCATTCAGAGAATAGACAGTTTTATGATCGATTCAACCGTTAATAAACTTGAAAAGTTTGTCTTTTGGAAATGCTTGTTCGTAGACATTAACAATTTTCCATTTAAATAAATTTCCTATGTGAAAACTTTAAGAAAAAAGAGTTTTCCATCAGAGTCTGTGAATGGTTATTGACAAACTTGAAAATAGAGGAGATCTTCCGATATTCCTTTTTTGGCAATCGTTGCTGAATTCGTCAGATTTATTAGTCAGTGAATTAACAACGAATTGTAGGTATGTAAAAACTGAGTAATTAATTTTGAATAGGAAGGAAATTTAGTTTTTTTTTTAAAAGATTTCCTATATTCATTTAAAGAAGGAACAAATTTTATAAGCCGGAAAAGTAACATGAAAGATTTATTGCCACCTGTCAATAGGCTCAGTTATAGATGTATAGATTCAAAGACAGAGAGTGTCAAAAAGATGAATAATATTAGAAATAATAGAACAGTGCATTCTTTCTCTTCCTTCTCATCACTGCTTATGACATGAATGACCACTGTCCATTTTTTTCCTTTGAATGAATAAACTCATTTATTCCGAAACTGGGATCAGCGTAAGAGAAAAAGAAAACTTCCCCAGGACTGATTGGAATTTGAAATCACAAATGACTACTGCTGATGTAAGTCGGACAGATGTGTTTTATGATCGGCATACCACAGGTAACAAAGCATATGTATCCTATCAATCTATACTTGATAATATCATACTATTCGATCATTTTCCCGAATCCATAAACAATTGCTTTTTGAAGTGATTTCCAATGTAAAATATATTGAAAATTTTCATGAAATCAATTTATCACATGGATGATTATTATAGGGCAACGAATATGGCACGAGATGAATTGGAGTGGGAAATTGAACAATTAAGGCACCAAAATGCTCAACTGAAAAAGGATAATCGTGAATTGAAAAAAGACTGCATGAGATTAGAAGCAAGAGTGGAAATCATTGAAAATAAATTCAAAACAATGGCTCGATTGTTGCAGTAGGCTTGATTACTACTGTATCTCCGATGGTAGTACAACTACATACTGTAATGATGATAATTTCAACTTTTTCTGTTACTTGTTGCTGGACTTTTTTCTTAAAAGTGAATCGAAGTGAATCTTAAATAAAATTGAATCTCATATGATATAATTACTGAATATGTAGAAAAAAGAAGTAAATTCAAGAAAAGGAACAAAAATATTTTGATTTGAGACAGAAAAAACTAAGCTTTTTTTCAACTGTTTCATTTTCAGTAGTAGTTATCAATTGAAACTTTCAATAGATGAGTCATCATTAGAAATATATTTATTAATTGTGACTAACGTATAATTAATTATTCCAACTTCAATACCTCCATTTTAATAAGATGTTCTATATTATCATCATGAATGCAAAAGAAGAGAACAAATTTCATGCGTTGAAATTAAAATTGTATAAAACAAGAAGCCTTTATCTTAATTCTTTATTATTCGTTTAAGCAATACATTATTGCAATTCCTTCCTCTGAAATATCCTTTTTCTACAAATAGAATTCTAAAAATCGTTAAACCGTTTTTATCGATAGTAATAAGTCAAATATGTTGTACAGTGTCTTGGAAAGTAAAAAAAAATCAAAGTTTATGAAATTTTAAGTATTTCTGAAATTCTTCAACCATTCCTACTCAATTCTAAAATTATATTTCCGAGCCATATAGCCAGTTCTTCTGAGAAATGCTGTACTTTTTTTTCTTCGTACACACTTGACCTTGTGTATATTTTGATGTGTTAAATGGCCCAATTGGCTCCCCAATTAAACAAAGAAGTTTGCGAATATACTCTTATAACTTTCAGTGATATTCAATTAAAAATATTAATATAAAACTTAACAATGTTAACTCTCTCTTTTAAAGTTATATCAACAAGAAAATACATCCTTTATTAATTTTTTCAATACATTTCCAAAATTGTTAAGAAATAGAAAAATTTTCGAGACCAACTAGGAGTTTCATTTTTTTTGTATCTTGTCAAAGTTTATGACTACATATAAATCACTGCGCTTGTTATGAAAGGTATAAGCTATGAGCTATTTACAGAAATTGCGATATCAGAACTGTTAAATAATTTTATTTTTTATTGCATTTGATCCTGAAAGTTACATTTTATAACATTACCGAACCGAACATTAATAATTGTCTTTATATTTATATAACAGATAATTAATGCCTTCAATGTGAAAGGAGAATATAATGGCCATCAAAAACATCCTAATCTCACCATTTTTACAATTTATGTAATCAGTTAAAATGTGATTTTATAATTTTCGTATCACATATATTCTTATAGACTAACTGAAATCAAATGGCAAGAATGGCCATTATCATTTTCTAAGATATTAACCGATCGTATATTTCTCACTTCAGCAATGTTAACTTTTTGTAATAAAGACCATTGGGATAACCAGTGTCACGTTCATCCTGGCTCAAACAACGAACAGAGTGTCTGAGAGAAATCAGTGCAGTGCAAAATATCTTTAAATAGGTCATGCAACAAAAAGAAACTTTCATGTCTCTATTGCAAAGATCTCCACAACAGCAGATTTAAAAATGAAATTATTCTAGTAAAGATGTGAGCAGATGTAAGTCAAAATAAGAAAATTCTAGGAATTAATTGGTATCATAGTAAAGACATCATGCAATTAATACTAATATATGGATCGGAAAAGAATTAAGAGGTTTACTTTATAATTTTTCATCTCTCAACACGATTCGTTAGAATTTCTCGTCCCTATAATGATACAATTCAGATTATTCATTCAAAACGTATGGAGAAAGAATAGACCAAGCCATAAAAGAAGGTGAGAAATATCCGTGTACACTCATTAATGAATGGCCAAAAATCGTAAAGGAATTATCGAAATCCACAACAACCTTCTCAACTGAAACGCAAATTCACGTTTTTAGTGATGCATCAAATATAGCTTACGCAGCAGTTGCGTATTTGGAAGATCAAATAAAAGAAATTTTTTTGGTCTTCACTAAATTACATATTGTCCCGGTAAAAGATATGACAATCCTTCGATTGAAATTATTAGCAATACTCATCGCAGTAAGAACTGTTCAGTTTGCGACAAAACTCGAACTTAAAAATACAGAGTTCAAATTTCAATCCAAAAAATAAAATTTATTAACGAAAATCGTTTTAATAAATGGTCAAGATTACTAAAAACAACCGCCAGGATTCTTAAATTCATAAAATTAACAGCAAAAAGTATGTAACCGATTTCAATTCAGAACAATCGATTTACGAATGACGATTACAATTAGCAGAATAGATGTTTTATTATTTTTAAAAAGAAATGTAAATAAATTTCGGGAATTTCGTTAAATATACCAAGAAAATAGAATTGTGAAGAATTCAATGAAGACATTTTCATCTCAAAAAAAAGTTACGATATAGACTAGAAATCATATACGAATCCTGCGATAAAATGTAGCAATATTATGCGAACGGTATGCACTAAAGCCTTTTTAGATTCTCGTTATAACATTGATGAAATAACTACTGAATCAATCTTTTTTCGTATTTGTAAAGAATTAAATAATTACAAGGAATTAAAAGACATTAAATTGAAACAAATCACTCCCAACAAGTAGATGATTACTAATAAATTCAATATTCATATGATTGGTTGGGAACATGACGTTAATCAACGACAACGAAACGTGAAATTTACAATGGTGAGAGGTTAGCATATCATTTCGATAATACCTGATATTGCGCAACACAAAGTGGAAAATGTATAACTCATACAGGCATCGTTTTTTGGGATGCAACGAAAACTATAAACTAATGATTATATAAAAAGTTTGAAATAGTCCGAAGTCAAGAAATACTAAAGAACTAAAATCAAAATTTTGGCATGAATTCAACCAAAAAGGAGAAGGATTATTAGAGAATTGGAAAACAGATTGATCTAGCTACAAATTTAATCGAAGAATTGTCAGGAACCGTGAAATGTTAAAAAATGATTATGGGTATGAGTGTCTTTATATTATTTACAGTGATAATTAGTTGTTAAGTTGAAATTTGAATTAATCAAGTCTTTAATTAATTTCAAATCCAAGAAGAAGAAAAATCATAGGAAAGGAAATTACTGCTATTCCTACGGAAAATATAAAATTTTTCATCCACAAAAAGAGGTGAAGTGAGAAACCCTACTTCCTAAGATGAAATTATAAAATGAAATCTATCAGAAGTGTCGGAAAACCGAAATTATCCATAGCATAAAAATGCTAAAATCATCAAAATATTTGTGTAGATTATATATAGGTAATTATTATTTAAAATTGTCGATTAAATGATTTACGTTAGTGTTTACGAGTGCTTAAAAATGTTAACTAGTGATTTATAGAAACAATGTCTTATATGATTATGGTTGTATTTAGTTTTGTATTTGTGTTATCAAATCAATTTTTTTCCATCCACATCAACAAACAGTCTACATTCAATCAACTTATATTCAAACTAGTAAGCGACTACTTCAATCGTCAACAATCAAGGAAAGAAATTCTCTCTCTATTGTCATATAAAATATCTCCTAATTTCCTGCAAAGAATAAATCCTTATAACAATCTTTGCCTGACAAGAGACTATTAAATTCAAAAAAATTATTGAACAAGCTTTTTAGAATCCAAGGGATAAGGTATTTTTATACCTTGTAAAAATAATCAGTGGAAAGGGCAATGATTTGAGGCAAATAGTAAATCAAGAACAATGTATCACAGTTAAGAATTGCTTTTGCAGAAATTTAAAAAAAGACCAGCAAAAAGAAAAAAAAGACTCGGAAATGATCCCTTCGGTTGTTACTAAACTTGTTTAAAAATCTTGAATTAGTCCTGACCGCTTTTCTTCTCTGTATCTTCCATTTGTGTGGTCGATTTCTTATATAAATCAGTAACAAATTGCGTGCCTGCTTTACGAGCTGCACGACCAGCAATAGATCGTGGGCCAAGATCCCAAAGCTGCAAAGCAGCCAGAGAAGTATGACCGGTTGCGTATAGTGCTTCATGTGCTGTTATTGAAGCCTGATTACCCCACCTGAAAATTCAACTTTAGATAAAGTTGGAATAAACTAAGAAGTTATTAATTTCAATAGGTCTTAGAGGCATTTTTTTTCATCGATAAGCCTTTTCAACAAGTTTACTTAACATACAATTCCAGAAATTCACACATTTTCAATGATCAAAAATTAATGTGATTTGAATGTAAGCTTACTTATGTCTCACAGTATCTACTGTTTCATCAGCAATATTTTTAGCCATTGTCTTAGAGGCATTTTCAAGAGCAATCCAAATAGTGCTTGCACTGGTGATGCCACTTCCTAATACATAAACCGTACCATGAACAATACCACTCTCTTTATCACCGAGATGTTTCTCTGCACCAGATGCTAAAGCTTTCCCAATTGATATACCCATATCACCAATTTTATCTACTAAAACAGATGAGAGTTATATTTTTTAAAAAATTAGAAAATAAAGCTGGCATCAGAGTTAAATTAGAAAAAAATCGACCAAATGTGGAACATTACTTGCCAACTATTCTCCTTCCTTATTTTTCTAACATAAAAATGATTACAAATTACAAACAAATGAAAAGTTGTGAAAAATTGATTACTCTGACATCTAATTCAGATTTTTAGAATCTACAAATCCAGATTTTATCCGTCATGCAAATTTTCAAACGACTAATGAAAGGTTGTCACTTGCAAAATTTTCATTTCCAAAAGGAGAAGCTCCAATTTCTCCTTTTAGGAGATATGTTAATTATTTAGCTAATAACTCTGCATGCTTTTAAGAACCGAAGGAAATGGAGAATTTACATAGATATCTTGTGCACTTCGCGACCATTTTGCTGCCCTTGTGGACATAATGTATACCGAATCTGATGCCAGGATTTATTTGCATAGGTTCTTGGTCTTGTGCAAGTGAAGAGCGAATTTGTGACGATTTATCAGACACGATTTTGGATGTTTTCTGAGCAACATGGTTTATATTTGTTGCCAAATAATCACCACCTGCATGAAATTTTGTTAAAATAGCATTTTAACAGTCAATCAGTTCTTAAGATTTCAAACATTTTATTCAAACTAATATGTTCCGAAAATTTTCTGAAAAAACAATAATCCCGTAAATGAAGGAAAAATAACCTCTCATCAAAAAATCGCCAATTTTCTGACTAAGATGTTCCTTTTCTTCTTTACTCATTTGGTGAGACAGTTCTTGGGTTCGTATCTCGGTGTGATGTTTCAAAATCGAATAGAAATCCTCTTCATCTTTCTTGTCCAGATTTTCAGGCAAAAGAATCCCAACAAACATATCTGCAACATATCAAATATTAGTATTATAATTAAATAAAATCTATACATTTCAAAATTTAAAAGAAATTCAAGAAAATTAAATTCTACTACAAATCTAAGGAATTACCTGGATGTTCTGGAGTTGGATTCGACACAATATATGCGCCAAAATCATTTTTGAGAACTGGTGTCTTTCCACGAACCAATGGATATGACCACGGACCAACCTGAAATCATACAAGAAGCAATTATAATTGTTAAGCAATTCATGCTGAATGATCGAACAATTTCTGTAATTAATGGATGCTTGTTTTTTTGATTTCAAGCAAACCTGTCTGCCGTTCGAAATTAATGAAACCAAAAAATTGAAATGTAAGGTGCCTTGCCGGCTTAAACTATCTTGTACGTCTCATATTTTGCATCAGCATAAAAAAGTAAAGTTTAAAATTGGAACCTAATCATTGAACCTAGTAAAATTTTCAGCATAGAAGTTAAAAAGTCAAAACAAAAACAAGAATTTACAATTTAATTTGGAGGATAATAAACATCCTTTTGATTTATAATTTATCACAATTGATAGTAAAACATATCTGTATAAATGCTTCCACATGATTAAATTCTGGCCTTTCTTGGTTTGAAGAAAACCGAAAAATTTCTAGAGAAGAAGGAGCAGTCGGAGTTGAAGTGCTTTCATTCTGAAAGTGAAAGAGCCGGAATTTTTAGGCTTTCCGGAAATCTTGAAGGGTTTATTTAAAATACATGTTATACTTCATGCAAATTTCTAAAAACAATAATCATCTCCTAACAAGCTTATAAAAGGTAATAAAAATTTTAACTTACCTCAATGATAAAAAGCTGCACACCATCTGGTATGTAGTATACCAAATCTGCCTCTACTGTGTGCATTGATTCGATCTGCTTTTTTAGCTCCTTTTTGTTCTAAAACTAAAATTTGATTGAACTCTGTTTACTTGCTTAAGAATTTTTATCTTTCTAAAGAGTAGTTAAAAAAGATTACAGTGTAGTTTTCAAAATCGAAAATAATCACTCAAAGAATGACCTCTTCATTTTCCATTTTCATTTTTTTAACATCCAATGTTTCATCTTTGACTTGTTTTTTTTTCTTACTCGCCTTCAAATCTTTTATCCTTGCTTCCACGCGATTCTTAACTTCCATCACCACTTTGTACATATCGCTTTTTTTATAATTTTTTTCCTTCGCCGCTTCTTTTATAAGCAGCAAACTTCGATCATAAAATGCCAATGCATTTTCCTGAAACCCATCTCTTTTAAAAGTGAACAATTTTTGGACGACAATCATCAGTTCTTCCTTGATCAAGCAATACCTGTAAACACAAATACGCAAAACTAACGATATCATCGATTTCATCGTAGCAAAGGCCTTGTTCCATACAGGCACACGCTTCACAATACAGTTCATTGATATTACGATTTGTCGTCATCTTGCATTTATGTTTACACTATAATTCCACCACTTTGCTAACAATTTATTACAAATTGTATATGCAAAATACGTTGTATGTTTACGTAATCTTATTATGTATAATTATTTCATCATCTTTCAACACTCTGCGCTCCATTTAGAAGTTTAGATGAAAGAAAAATTGATATCTACGTCAGATCGTGAGAAATTGAATTTTTGAGAACATTACGCATACGGCAGCTTTAAATATTTTTAAATATAAATATACGGCAGCTTTGAATTATTTAGTGAATAGTCTCCAAAATTTTAGCAGTTCATTATCTGCTAAAATGTATACTTTGATATTCTGCTAAAAAGGACTCCAAAGCTTGAGAGATACGGTGAGAAAAAGAGAAAGAGGTCAAGTAAGAATATTAAGAAAAAGAAGGATTGCATCAGAGTTCTGAAATAAATTAGAAAAATACCAAATGAGATTTGTATTTCATTATCTGTGAAAAGGAGGAACATGCATTACTTGCTATGTGCTGCACGTACGTTACATAAGTTGCAGAGATCAATTAAAAACAAAGATTTCACTCTTAACAGGTTAAGAAATTTCCATGACACAAAATGAGGGAAGCGCTAAAAAATAAATATCACCTCCTCTCTTTAAGTTAACTTCGTATGACAGCTAGGAATCAATAGAAAGCAAAAAATAATGAAAATGAAGAGATAAGAGATAAACAGAGATTGTGTAACACATAACAATAAGCATCATGAACACTATCCATGCTCAGCGAAGCAATTTAAGCTATTAGATGAGGACTTGTAAAACTTTCGGAATATCAGTAGGCTTTAGGAAGGCTTAACAACTGATTTAACACTTTCTGCACTGAGTAATAAGTACGGTCGATCCGTGCATTTTCATAATGACCTCACGCTCCCGAATGAGTCATCACCATCTTTTTTCTCTTACTCCCAGGAGCTTCCACCCTCACATTCACATCAGTCTGTTCGAGAGGAGCAGAAAGTGCAGAATCAAGCAAAATGAAATCTTTTACCTTTAATTATCTTCTTATCCCAAAGTTACTTCCTCTTTCTCTCCACTTCGATATCAAAATTGACAAAGGTAAACTTTGCCTGTCAATTCTGAATAATTTTTATAGCAACTGCTTCTAGGAATTCTCACGTTTTACCGTAAATGCATGCAGTAAACAGTAAATGTAGCTTTAGTTTCATCAAGTATAAAATAAACTTCACAAAAGATACCTTTTATATACTACCAACTGAAAAAGTATAAGAGGAATGTGTCATGTGTGCCGTGCTGGTTAACATTTCTGACAGATATGTTTTATGCTGAAATTTCATTTACGGGAGAAATATATCTTCAACTAATTGTCGAGAATTATTTTGATTTCTGGTAATTTCATCGCATTCTATTTGGGAAAACATTGGAATATTAAGGTAGGAAAAAAAATCCAAAAATTCGATAATAATGTAAAAGTTTTGATGTGTGATGATTTGGTCGATTCTTTCTATCATTAAAAAACAATTCAGAAGGATAAAAATCTTCCCAAAATCATTTATCATATGGAGGAACGATAGCAAACAATGTCAGTTATGGAAAAGTTTTAACAACTTGTGACCACTTTTCTTTGATGAAGGCATTTTGACCATGTCAACACTTTTCGGACTTTTCGAACGAAGGCCGAATGTACTGCAACGACCGGAACTCTTCATTGAAAATGCATTTTTGTTCACTGAAAGCAATTTAAAAGAAATGGAATAGAGCCACTTTATGAAAAACAGATTATCATTTCATCGATCACCTTTATCATTAGACAGTGAGTTACATAACTGCACTCTCTCACTCTCAAATCACACTCTCAAACACCATTTTATAGCCCCATGAAATATTGCAACAAAAATTATCACGCAACATTTTATTTTGTATCATTATGAAAATATTTGATAAAAAAAAATAAAATCACCAGAAATATTATAAGTGGCAAAAAGTTGCACAAATTAAATTTTCTGAATAAATGCGCCAAAAAAACAGAGCCAATAATAGATCCGCAAGAGTATTGTACCGTTCTTCAATTGATCGTTCAAGGAAAACCATTTGTACGTAAGTCCATTGAAAGATATATCAAAGTTTTGATAGACTTGTTCATTAAGCAATTTTTTTAGATTTCTGACGCTTGTTCCTGTCATGCAACAAGGCTTTCGAGGATATTTCTGTACATTTTTGATTCAACTAAACCATTAGTATTCCTCCCTTTCCTTCCTCCGAAATGTATGCTCAAAATTGATGTTTGCATTAAGTGATATTTGAAATAGACTTACTTGAAGAAGCAATTTCAGAATCAGAAGAACAAAGTCGTGGAGAGGGACTACGTCTTTTGGATCGATCAGTTAAGACCACAGTAATTGGACGTCTGAAAAGTGCAGCAACTCGTTCCCATTCATCTATAGCTGAGATCTCACCAAACATCACACCAAATCGTTTTGCTAACTTTTCACCATCTGATTCACTCACCTGACTAGAAATGAAATTTTAGTCTTCAATAGAGAAATATTCTGTATAAATGTTAAAATTAAGTAAATCCTTTTACACTATTGTACTTTGCTAGTTTGTTTCTTTGGGTTTTTTTGATAAAAATAAAATTCTCATTCACTTCATGTGATTATCGATAGTTGAAGTTTGATTTCCCTAACAAACTTGAAAAAAACTAGATTTTCTCAAAAAACTGCAAGAAAAAGTTTACTCTTGTAACTTTTTCTGATAAGGAATAATGTTGTGAAGGAAAATCATGGTTTAGGAAAATTTCTAGCATTGAAATTTTGAGCTTAAGAAACTCAAGAATCTAAAAATTTAAAGCTTTATCTTAAAAGGAAATAAATCCTGTCAGATACCTCATATATTTTACCATTTCCTAGCAAGGTCATACAGCAAAATTCATTTTTGCAGAACACTTTTCAAGCACTTACCGATAACGTTCAAGATCAGTCTTATTTCCCACAAGTAAGCATTTATGCTGCCGTGAGCAAAGATGATGTTCATGGGTTGAAATCTGTTGCATTGTCGATTCTGCGTATTGCAGAGATAATTGTGATGTTATATCATATACCTCAAAGTGATAATGGAACTCTTTTTTAAAAATATTTGAAATAATTTTCTATTGCAGTCATGCAAAGTATACTGGCTCTTATTATAACAAGGAAAATTTCATAAAAAAATCAGAAAGTGCGACAGTATCTTCTTTTGTGAAATAATTATCTGTTAATCAATCTTTCAGAGGAAGAAAACTCTGAAAGAAAAGGGATTATCCATTTTTTCAGTTGAATTTGTCCGGTCCAGGAATAAAGTAGAGTAGAGATTGTTAAAGTAGAAATTTTAACTTTATTAAAAAGAATCGGATTAAGAATTTTTTTTAACATCAGAAATTGGAAAAATGACTGTCATTTCAGCAATCCTAAAATTAATACAAACTGATAAGATTATAGTGATTTCTCTTTTGCGAAACAACTAACGATAATGTAAACATCAGCCCACGAAAGATAACGCGTCGTATCTCGTCCTGAACCATCTACTGTATCCATCAACCATACAACCATCGGTTGTGAGAGTAAAACATCTTGACGACAGTAAGTATCTTCTAAGGACGACGATTTAAATGAGTTCAAATAATTTATAATTTAAAAGTGTAGCAGAATAATTCTTTGGGCTATGTAGAAAAAGTGAATCCTCCTAATATCTGCAGCAAAATCAAAGTGTTCTCATTGTTGATAATTACATCGCTAGATAAATGATATATTAAATTCACATATATAAAACGTATGAAGTAATAAGACAAAAACAAACCAAGATTTGGATCATATTCGCCAATGAATCGTCGTGCTATGTATTTCACTGCCAAAGCTGCGAAGTAAACAATGATAATAATGAAAAAAATATTTGCAAATCAAGCCAAGTGCAGTACTGACATCTACAGATTGAAGAAGAGGTAAGACAACTTGGAAATTTAAAAGATAAATCAGCTTAATTTTGAAATTTAAAAGATAAATCAGGTTAATTTTATTGGTACAAAATATAAGTTATTGGAGGAATAGCTAAAAATCCATAAAAAGCTCATTTTTTAATTTATTTATATATATCATGAAGAAAATGAGAGACTTCATCTCATCACTGCCATTTGTTTTTCTTTTCTCAAATAATCAAAATCAACTAAAAATCCAAGAATGTATTAATTTGCAATAAATAGTTAAAATATCCTGGCAAGAATCACAAACAAAATGATAATTCTCACCCGATTTCCCGCAACCCGTCATTCCAATCAAAGCGACATTCATTTCAATAATTGATGAACACATCATTCTTAGCTTGCAAAGAGTTTTAAGCCTGCTGCTTAAGAGGAGTAATGGAATTTAGTGAAAATATCGCTACGAAGAATTTTACAATCCTTGCATCCTAAACGTCAGCATCCCAATGGCAGCTGGTCCTCTTTAATCTCTACCATGGGGAATCACGGAATGTGTGGCTGATATAATCTTAATATCAGTCTCTTAAACGCCAATAACGTTATATTCTCCTTTTGCGATAATCTGTTCCACAGTTAAACTATCCTTAAGCCACAGTTATGATTTCTCAAGTGTGAACGATCTCAGACTTATTTCTAATAAAAATTTAATTAGTAAATCGAATGG